TAGTTGTCCAACCTAGTGTTTCAGTTAATTTCTAGTTTTCTCAAATTCACAGAAATCTCTTGGGATTTGTCCACATGACTACAAGTGATGTTTTCCAGAAGTTAAACTAATTGACAAACAACTGAAGCAGGGAGGATTGGATTTTAATGGGAAAATAAGGAATCTTAAGAGTAAGACAATACAGCAAGATTTGCTGAGTTTTAATATCACAGATTCCTTTCATCACAGACTTGCAGATGGTAAGGAAGAAAAGATGCTGGGACCAAGGATATCTACACTCCATAAAAGGAGCTGAGACACTCTGTCTCCTCAAATGGAGAAATTGGAAACTTGTCAAACCCACACGCTCTTCAAGATTGGCTTAGATTCGTTCTCTTTTAAATAAGGTTGACTATAGGTCCTACAATGAGGAACATGCTCCTCATTCTTAGTAAAGAAACAAGGTAGAAAGTTACAAAACCAGACTCTGAGGCCACGCCAGGCTAACTGGCCAATATGCATTGAATGTGTTGTGTGCTGTTGTGGTGCAGGGAGTCCAGGTCCTGTGTTCTGGTCCAACTTGACTTCCTCACTGCATCTCCTCCTTCAAGCCCACATCAGTCCCCACATTCCAGCCTCACCAATCTAACCATGCTGCCTACACAGCAGGTCTTCAAATAACATTGTTTTGTTCAAAGTCACTTTATCATAATGTTGATGAGAAAAAAAAATTGATTCTCGGCTGGGGCCACTGTCTGTGTGGAGTTTGCATGTTCTCCCCATGTCTGTGTGGGTTTTCTCCGAGTACTCTAGCTTCAATCCATATCCTAAAGTTGTGCACTTTAGGTGAACCTGGCGTGTCTAAGCTGTCCCAGTCTGAGTGAGTGTGGGTGTGAGTGTGAGGGCGCCCTGCGAGGAAAGGTAGTCCTGACCAGGGTGGGTACCACCTTGCTCCCCTGAGCTGTCAGGGTATGCTGTGGCCACCTGCAACCCCAAACTGGAATAAGCGGGTTTGAAAATCATCATCTTACTTGTTTTTATTAATCTTTCATAAATGTATGTATAGCTCATATTTGTTTTGGTGTTTAATATTAGAGGTGTTTTGGGTCTTTATTTAGAGGTTTGGTGATGTTTTTGTGATCAGAGATATGCCATAGAAACTTAACTCTTGTTTGTATCAGTTAGCCTGTGGTAAAATTGGTTTCCTTATATGTCATGTTACTTAAAGTTGAAATTCCCAATAACCTATCGACCATGTAAATTGAGAGCTTACTGTATGCCATACACTCTTTTTGTATAAGCTATTCCTTCTGTCTGAAATGCTCTTTTCTTTCTCATTTGTCTAGTGAACTGTTCATTCTTCAAGTCTACTTGTCCCATACTCCCAAGCCAACTTGATATCCTCTACCTCTAGAAGGCATCTCCTTCATTCCAATACTTATACAGAACTGTAATTCTTTATATGAATGTTTGTTTCTCACCAGACTATGGTCTCCTTAAGGGCAAGAACTGGGTCTTCTGTCTTTGAACCCAGCCCCAAGCACAGCATCTGGCAGTGTAGAGCCTCATTACTGTTTGTGGAAGAGTGCTGGGGCAGGGGTGGGGGGTAGATACAGTATGGTTTTATCAATCAACCAAAATAACCAGAAGGGGCACCTAATTTTTTTTTAATTATTAAGGAGAGTGTAGTAATTTTTACTATTTTAAAACCCACTATTTAGTTTAGAATCTATTAGTAGAAAAGCAGTAACCACTGAAAACATTAA